TGGGAGCTGGGAGTGGTGGTGTGTCAGAGTCTCACCCCCGTGGTGGGCCCACACCCCTCTCCCAGAGCCCAGCTCCTCCCCTCTATTTTTCTGAACCTTCTAAAAATGCAGCCTGAAGTGTGTTGTAATCTCTGGGCGAAGGCCTGGGAGTCAGTGACCTCCTTGGTTCTAACCCAGATTTGATGTGGGCTCAACAGTGAGTCATTAGCCCTATTTTCACATCTCAGTTTCCTCTAGGAAAAATAATCTGTCATTCTTTCATATCTTTATATGAAAGATACTGCGACTAGGTTACATCAACGTCTTTTCACCAGGGAGAAGTCATGATTCAAAAACTGCAGCTCCTTGAGTAGCCCGCAGGGGTCGCTGTGGAGACATGGAGAGCCCCCCGCCCCTCACCCCCTTTCTTCAGTCCTGCCTGCCCCCCTCAACCTTTGCAAAGCCCAGCCTCCGTCAGGTGGGTCTCCTCAGGGGAGGCATAAAGCAGGCTGGCCTCACTTGGCAACAAAGACTACCCAACTGCTTCCGTTATAAACAGTATATTTCTTTGAGAGGTTTTTCTAGTCTTTGAAAAGTAAAAAAGAGGAAATCCTGAAAGAGGAGTATGTGGCCTAACTTAAATGTAACCACAATTAGGCACTAGAGTTAGTATAAGCAATGATGCAATAAAAAAGGAAGAATTAAAGTTTGGTCTGTTGCATATTATTAACTCAATCATTCTGGAAGTCAAGGGGTTCAAGTCTGTCTTTGCTGCTCCCTCCCTTTTTCTGTCTGTCTCTTTCATACATCCACATACAAACACACATAGATAATCCTAAAAAATACAGTAAAAATACTACATAAGGCAAAAATACTACTATGTTCCAGCAACTGCTAATATTTTCCTTCATTGGGCAACTGGCCAATAAACAAGCAACTAATATATAGAAAGACATATTCATGAATTGAATGCTAAGTAAGTCACATTGCCCAAAACCATAGTGTAAATGGTATTCATTCTACATTCCTCAATTTCACTTGGAAAATTACAGAGGAAATAGGAAAGGAGATTGCTTGGTATTAAATGTTTAACATTTATGTGAAACAATTACAAAGGAAACCTCATTGTGATTTTTCAGGCTGTATATTTTAGTTCAACTAATTCAATATGGTAGAATAAACCAACAGGATTATTTACTTTCTTCAGTTGCCTGGCTTGGAGATTCCACTCTTCATTAACACAGACTGCTTATTTTCCTTGCAAGGAAAATCCATGATAATTCCTCACTGCTTTTTTCTCTGTCCTAACATCACACTGCTGCTGACTGAAGTTACTAAAGGATGGCTCAACACCACCACTTTTTGATGTCTCCAATTTAGCTGCTTTAAGATCACAAAAATAAAGTGTACAGCAAACAAAATGGCCTAATTCACCTCCATTTAATTAAGATAACTCTCTAGTTATCTTCCTATTCAATGCTCTCATTTAATATTCTTTGATCATAAACAACTTCATGCTTGTGATTACTTTTTAAATGGTACTACTAACTTCAAATAAATACCAGGGCTACCTGGTTATTATTATTGACATTTTGGGTTAAATAATTATTTGATGGTGGGGGGGGGTTGCCCTGTGCATTATAGTATAGTTAGAAGTATCCCTAGCTTCTGCCCTCTAAATGCTAGTAGCATCCCTCCACCCTCAGTCATGATAACCGAAAATGTCTCCGGACATTGCCAAATGTTCTGGTGAGGGGCTAGGGAAGCAGGAGTGTATAAAAAACCTCAGGGTTAAAACCACAACATTTGGCGATTTATTACAATGAAAAGGGAAAGAAAAGAAAGAAAATGAAACTTCTTGCCTCTGTTGATTGTCCAAGCCTCTATAGATTTTACATTCAAGTGTTTAGATTCTTCCTATATTTCATGGAATCACTCTTTCTAACTGTCTAAAACTTTGTGCAGCGTCTTTTGAATCAATGTGCCTTGAACTTGAAATGGATTGTTAAACTACTAGAAGTCAACTAATTCCCAGTGGGCAAACTATCGGTAAACCTTAGCAAAATTCTACTTTGAGCCTTAAACTAACAGCACGTGAAAAGATCAATATGAATAAATTCAAAACTAATCAAGCCCCTTCTTTAAATGTTGACACAGTATTATTTATATCCCATAAATACATTCATGACTAAAATTCATCCTAGGAGATTGGCACCTGGCCAGTTCTATTCATATTTACTGTATTTATATAGTACACTTGGCCAAGGATAATATTTAAGACAAAATATGCCTGAGGGCATATACAATATCTCTTATATTTTTACTTTTGAATCTCCACATTGCTAAAAATATTTAGTCTGAACTTTATAAAATGTCCCACAAAGGGCTATCAGCCATCTGTAATGATATATAGCTCATTGAGTATAATTAGAGCATATTTGTAATACTTGAGCTGAAGTCACTCCCTGAACACTAATAAGTTGGTGGTAAAAAATGAACCAGTGATCTTTCCCATGCCTTCATCTCTCAGGCTTATGACCCTCACCGGATTCACTGCAAGAAATGACAGCCACACTCCCTCCCCATATCCACTTCAATGACAGCCGAGTTAAAAGTTAAGCAGAAAAGTCCTAAAGAGGGAAAGTTGGTATATAAGCCAATGCTGTACTTTCAATTTGAGTTTTAAAAATATGTTTTCTTTCTTTTCTTCCTTTTTTTTTTTTTTTGGAAGGGTTTGCTATATTCCAATATAACTAGAAAGTGCTGGAAAATCAGTTAACCTACTTTCTATAAAATTACCCACAGTCCTTGCACAGTAGTATCAAACCTGCTATTAATATGTATAGCTCTGTGCTTCTAAGCTTCCATACAGAATATGAGCTTCTTAAAGACTGTATTCTAAGTATAAAAACTGGTCATAAATTCTTTTATCCTTGACTTATCAGAGGTTTTAATTTATTTGTCAGCTGTGGGTGAAAGGGAGAGAAGAATCCACACAATGACTTTAGATACCATACCTTGAAGTCTTCCTAATAATTTATGGATTTTTCCAATTTGTTTATGACCATGACCCTGAGTTGGACCATCTCAGCTTTGGAGACTGAAGTGTGCTTGAGTGAACAAAGAATTCATGCCCTCTTGGGTTACTTGCTTTCTCCACACCTGTACAATAATGAGATAAGATCTAATGTCTGTGCTATACGCTGACAGTTTATTAGAGATTTCACCTGTAACACTGAAGGATGGAGTTATTCAGGCTGTACATAACATACTTGCCTGTCTGTCCAAATACCAGTAAAACAAATGCACGTGCTAGAGAAAGCAAATTGACTCAACTCCTTGCTCTATCTCAATGGTTTTGGACTAATTACAACAAACTTTCTTTCCTAACATCTCCTTGGCTCCACCCCAGACAGAAAGCTTTACTCCCCTAGGGGTATAGCCAGGGTGGGGTGTATTTATCACCACTGTTGTGGATAGTGCCATAATTACAATAGTAAAATCATCCCGCTTGCCAGAATTCCCTGCATCTGTTCTGCCATTGAATAAGAAGAGGAGACACCGCAGCAAAATAAAGGTCGCCAGGAAGGCTGGGGTTAAGACATGGGCTGACATTCTGAGACCATCAAGTACAAGACACGGCATGTCACATAGCTAGGATGTGTCAAACTAAAAATAAATATTAAAAAAGTAAAGCACCACCCTGCAATTAGAACCTCTAGGATAAAATTACCAAGATGTATTATCTATTTAGGCAAGACACAGAGACTGCAAAGGCAGCCAGCAAGTGTATAGGGCATGGAAAGGGGAGGAGAGAAATGAGCAACCAATGAAAAGTTTATGACTTGGGATTTGGAATACACAAATGTTAAAGCGTTTTTCTTTTCTTTTTCTTCTTCTTCCTGGTATTTAACCCTCTCAGGTACCAGTGGATGCTGCTGCTTCTTTCCTTTTTTAAAAAATTTATTTTAAAGAACTCAAATAATTCTACACTCTGTCCTCTTCCCTTCCCCCCAAAGAGCTCTACAGTAAATCACTCACTCCCATTGCTACTGTATGCCAGTTGGTTTTGAGGACACTGTTCTTGGAGAAGGCAGTTTTTTAAAAAAAAAGAAAGAAAGAAAAACCTCGGCTGTCTTCTACTATATCTGAGTATTAGGAATGCATTGAAGTAACTACAGGAAGCCTGTCAAAAGGCAGGAGAAGCACACAGCTCAAGGTTAAAAAATATCAACAACAAATCCCTAAGAAAAATCATCTGCTACACAGAAGATTTTAAGAAGGCAGGTTTGGGTGGATTCTGAACTAGAACCTTTTCAAACCCAGTCAGAAACGAAATTGTCTTTTCTACCACTCCTATGACTCCAGGTGAAAGCAACAGGGGTTGTGGTTACAGGATCTCATCTCTGGGTAGTTAAACGCCTAGAGATGGCAATAGCATCAAGTATTGTTTCTCTAGGGGTCTCCAACTGGGGATTTGTCTCGGCGATGCTGACGTTTTTAGGGGAGCTAGAGACAATAGAGAAGCCTTAGGGAACAAGCTGATAGGTCAGCACGGAAAGGGGGCGCCTTCCGGAGAGGCTAGTTTTGAGCCACTTTTTTTAACCCTTCGTGCACCAGCTCGGCGCGCTCCACGCCAATGGGAGCAAAGAAAACAAACCTATCAAGATTACTCAGTTTAACTCTGCCCTGGGGAGCGCCTCTCGCTTGACAGAGGAGGGCTGACTCCTCGCTGGCGACCGAGTAAAAGAATTCCAGGGAAGAAAAAAGAGAATAATTCCTTATAAAGGACGGAGGCGTTGGGGGAAGGGAGAGATGGAGAAAATAAAGTAGAAAGTGAACTTTGAAAGCCTGACGGTCTCAAGCACACAACTGGAGAGGTGGATGGGGCGGAGGACGGGAGAACTGGCAGATGGCGAACGGGACCCGGGAGAGGGAAGGGTATCCCGGGAGCCGATGCGGCTTTGAGAGCACCGGGCAGCGCTGAACCTCGGGGGATGGAAGCGAAAATCAGTACTTACTTTCGGAGGGGAAGAAGGGTGGCATGTCTATTTTGTAGACCTCCTTGGCGTAGTATTCCTCGTCGCTCCTCTCGCGTTCGCAGGCGGCCGCCCTCCGGCTCGCCTTCTCCTGGAGCAAGTCCCTGGTGCTGTTGTAGATGGAGATCACCTCCGGGGGGACTTCCTCGGGCTCGGGGTAGTCTTCTGGGGGGCTGGTGAGCTTCAGCTTGCTCAGGATCTGCCCGCGGATGGCCTCGATCCTCTTGCGCATGAACTGGTCCATGTCGAGTGTGCTGCAGGTAGACAGGCTGAGCGCGACCGTGACCAGATGCAGGATCAGAAAAGCGCTCAGCACACAGTAGTGCATTTTTTTTTAAAGTGGGGGAAAAGTGGTTTTTTTCTTAAAAAAAAAAAAAAGGCAAGGAAAAAAAAAAAGAAAATAACAATTCTCAAAGTACTGATAAGAGAGTTGATTGGGTTTTTTGTTTGTTTTTAATGTGAAACTGTTGCAAACAATCAAGAGTCAATGCCCAATAGAAAAACGTATCTTGCTTGAATTTCTTTTAAAAAGAAAAGACAAGTAGTTCCCAAAGTGGAAATATTAATACGGGGTGGGCAGGGGGAACCCTGACTTTAGGGAGTAAGAAAAAAATTTCTTGGAGCAACGAGATGGGAGGAAAAAAAAAAAGAAAAAAAAGAAACGAGTGGCTATTAGGCAGAAATAAATTTAAGAGGAGGAAATGGAGTTCAGTGTGTCAGTCTCGGGTGCGGAGTGGCGGATCTGAACTCGGCTCCTCCAGCCAAAAGGGAAGAGATGAAAAGGTCCCAGGGCTGGCAGCTGGCGAACTGACGGGAGGGGCGCCGAGAGCGCTGGAAGGGGGGCCGCCAAGCTGACCCGGGCTGCAATTTATATATTTAAAGAAGGAGAGGTTCGGCCCAGCCTTCCACTGCGGCGATGAGAGCAGGAGCAGCAGCAGCTCCGGAGCCGAGAAGCGCACACGTGTGTGTGTGCGCGTGTGAGTGCGCGCGTGTGCGCGCGCTGGGGGCGAGCCCAGCGGGTCGCGGGGAGGCGGGTGCGCTTCGCACGGCGCTCTGGACGCGGCCGGGTGCTGCAGGGTCCGCAGAGCTGCCGAGGCGGCGAGGATCCTGCTCCGGGAGCCGCGCGCTGTGGCCTACACCTCGGCCGGCGCGCGCCGCTCGGCTGGGTTACTCCACGTTGCCGCCGCCGCCGCCGCCGCCGCCGCTTGCAAACGCGTCCAGCCTCCAGCTCCCTCCTTCTCTCGCTGCAGACACCAACCCGGCCGCAGACGATCAGCCGCCGCTGCCGCCGCCTCTGCCTTCACCTCCAGCGGAACACAGCGGCAGCCCTTGGGACGCGCTGGCTGGGAACTTTTATTCCTGATGGTGTTGCGTAGGGGATCCCTTGGACTCCCACCCTTTCCCAGTCTCTCCTGGTTTCTCCCCCACAGGGACTTGCTCGCTTAGGGTAGGTAGGTACTTGCCCCCTGTAATAGACCCTCTCTTTCTTTCTCCTTTCTGCAGCCGAGCAACCCCTCGGTGAGTTCCCGAAAGACTCCCTAGACCGTTATGCTAATGTTCTCCATCTCTCTCCCCTGCCTCTTCCACTTGCGCTCTGGCTCGCTCTCTCTTTCTCTATCCCTATCAGTCTCCCTCTTGTCGGGAGCTCCTGGAGCTCCGCTCGGAGCGAACCTTCCGCTGCCAGCAGATAACATCACGATCTTGCCGGGGAGGAGAGATTTATAAGTTCTCACTGAACCACGTGTTTGCCTTCAACAAAGTGACGTGCTAGGATTACAGTCAGAAGTCCTCTCGCTACTTAGACCACGAGCTCTCCCCGAAGCGTTGAGGGGGTGTGGAAATGAGGACGCCTGTGAGGAAGGGAGGAGGAAGGTGGAATGTGCGCCCTGACAACAATGATTTACAGTATTTACTTTAATCTATAGTCACTGTGGACAGGTCTGTTGAAGGACAATCAAGTCTCCTGTTTTACTCAGTGCGCCTCACTCACAACCTCCCAAATCGAATCACTCATTCTCACTAGAATGAGTCTTCCTTCCTGGATTACTGTGCATACACACACACACACCCCGCTATGGGAGGGAGCACCAGTCCATTGAGGGTCCGACCAGTATTAAAGACGTGCCCTCCTTCCAGTCTAAGATTCATGTCCTACCTTTTAAATTTACTGGGATTCCACAACAGGTTGCCATTCCAGAGCTTATTTTATGAGTTTGTTTTTTTATACAAACTTGTTCTCTGCTTGACTGGGAACTGTTAGAAAACAGATCTATCTTTTCTACCTAAAGAACAGGTATATTGGTTGGTCTTTACGGTTTAGTGAAGTGTCACTTTTATAATTTGCTGCCTAAGCCGGTTCTTGTATGGCTTTCTCTTCACCTCCTTCCTAGGCTAAACATTATCAACCAACTTCATTCTTTCCACAATATTAATACAGGAAGCTGGAATTTTAGGTGTTTGATGTCTACTGCTATACACTACTCATAACTTGACATTTTCTATTTCAGCCAAGTCCAAATTAGAATACAAGAACAATTCTTACCACTGTTCAATTTTCCCTTTTTCTTTTATTTTATCTTTAGTTACTCAAAGTCAACATTTTCATTTCAGCATGACTCTGTAGCCATACTGGCTAGACAGATGATTTAAACTGGAAACTCTGTTGAGTTTTGCCCCAAAATTCAAGGTCTCTATATTATTTCCTAGTTCAGATGTTCCCTAGTTCAGAAAGTTCCTTATGAAAAGTAACTTCCTATAACTTTTGGAATTTACACTTTAGATGTATATGGGGACCATATCATTAGTAGAGGGCTGAATAAATAGTAATAATAACAACAGCTAACATATAGTACACTATATAAATGCATAGAGATTCATTCTTCACAATAACCTCATAAAGTAGGGTTTACTTTACACACATTTTGCAGATGAGGAGCCTGAGGTACAGAAAAGCCATGTACTTTGCTCAAGACCACAGCAAGTGGTAGAGCTGGATTCTGCGATCAGAACCCATTGTCTATGTTCTTACCCACAATGTACTTCTAAGAAATATTTGTTCCAGAATATGTTCTGACAAACAGGGATTCTAGGGTCAAAGAAGTTTGGGAGATTCTGGGTACTCTACTGCCCTCTTACAGATTCATAACTTCCATCATCATGTTAGAGGCTCTGAGAATCCTGCAGAAAACTTTTTAACTCTCTTAACCCAGCATTTTCTGAATTCCCTTAAATAAGGACTTTTTTCCTGCTATTAACACACATTGAAAAACTCTGGAATAAAAGAATTATTGCAATCCACTTGTGAATAATTCAGTTTAATTTCAATTTAAGAACTGTAGTAAGAAATGTAGACCCCTGACCTATTCATAAGAGGCTACTTTAATTTCCCCAAAGCCCAGGAGGGGAAGACAAGGGAGGGGTTTCTGAAGTCTTCTGATATGGGTAAGCACTCTACAGAAAGGACAAAAAGTGAACATTACTACACCTGAGCAAGTACAGAACACAGATCAGGAGCTACAAACTAGAGCTACTGAGTGAAGATGCTTTGGAATATTGCTAGTTATCGGAGCTAGCTATCACCATATTTTGCTGAGGATGTAGGTTCGGCTTCCTCACAAGCCAGTGAGTATTGCTCAGTGTGCATAGACTACCTTCTTGGTACAGACACAAATGCACCATAGGTTAAGAAGTTTCAGATTAGAGTGTGGCTAGAGCAGCAAAAGTCCACCTACATCACTTCAAGAGAAACAACTTAAGCCACAAATTCTTCTGACAACCACCCCCCTGCCCACCATAGATATACATACTTTTGTTCATAAGAGTTAGTTGAACACACTGATCATTTAAGAACCCCTTGGACTTAAGATCCCTGACCTATTCATAAGAGGCTACTTTAATTTCCCCAGAGCTCAGGAGGGAAAGACAGGGGAGGGGTAGCTGAAATCTTCTGGTATGGATAAGTACAGTAATGTGAGTAAAGCAGGAGAAAAGGAGTCCCATCCACTTCTCTAGTGTTCAGTTTTTTGAAGATGTAACGGGCAAAACTGACAGAAATGCAGTAAGAAATGCAGACCCCTGACCTATTCATAAGAAGCTACTTTTCCGTAAATTAATCCTTTCCTCTATTAAGGACTTTTCATCTCTGTTTAAGAAGCAAAACATTCACCAAATTTGTTGAGATCTTATGTGCTAGGGATTCTATGCTATCTTCACGGGAAAAGGGATTTGAACTATATATACCATATTGATTACCTCAAGGTGGCACAGAACACAGTGGTTAAAAGATCTGGCTCCAGAATCAAAAGTTCTTGGGTTCAAATTCCTGTTACTTTCTGGCTTTGTGACCAAGTTACTCAGTGGCTCTGTTAGTTTCTTCAACTATGAAATGGAGATAAATAACAGTATGAACCACGTAAGATTATTGTAAAGATTATATAATATAGTGAAAACAGCCACTTGATGAAAATACTTATAACACTTAGCACATGCTCATTAAATGTTACCTACCATTATCTTGTCCTATCCTCATTTTTGTTAGGGAATTTATAACTTTAAAATAATTTTTAATTTATTTTTTTTGAGAATTTACAACATAAATTGTGAGAATTTATAATTTTTGAGAGAGTGGAGACTTGTTCTCAAATGTAAGTAGAATGAAAAAGCCAGGGAAGAACCCAAGAAGAATTGACTTCTGGTTGTGCCTCCTAACAGTTTCTGCAGGCATAAGCTTACTACTTTAAACATTATATTATTTTGCCCCACCCCCAGTAATTGTAGGAGGAAGGGAGGAAACACACTTTTGGTGAATATAACACTAAATGACTATCGAAGGTCAGTTAAACATGCAAGATTAAGGTCTCTTATTATTTAACACCCTCAAATGGAATTCTTTTCCAGATTAGAGAGGGAGAGGGTACAGCTGTTTCAACCACTAGCCATTCTCTCTTCAATAATGGGTCTGAACTTAAGTTATATGGAATTCCTACAAGAGGCTAAACAAAGCACAACTACTCATCCCTGTCCTGGAGTTTTACCCCTATGGCAAAAGCTTATGGTCTAATAGGACCTTTCTAACTTTGATAAAAGAATAACTTCATTTTTAACCATTCTGAAAGCATCCCAAGATGGTTTCAAGCATTCAAAACCAGGAGGTGGGGAAAATAAACACATAAAACTCCTGTAATTGACTGCATTTTCTCCAAATAATGATACATGATAAATCCAAAATACCCTTTTCATATAAAAATATACCAAAAGTCTTTTAAGAACTTAAATTCTTACTTAACAAACTTATGTGCTTAGAATGAGATGGAAAGGTAATTTATTCATGAAAAGTAATTCAATTATTACTTCCATTTTTGTTTCTATATAATCTCAGAAAGACATGATAGGAAAAAAAGGAGGGAACCATGATGGACAGAGGAAAATGGACAATGGAGAGTAAGGGCTTAAAGAGATCAGAGGTGGTAAGAGATAAAGGGATAAATTCAAGAGACAGGACCAAGAAAAAGCAGAGCTTATCAGTAGGTGTGAGGCTTGAAAGAGATAAACTCATCACATCTAATGATATACTGTGGGAACATGATCTTATCCTTTGGAATTATGATTAGCTGACTGGCCACTCATATCTCCACATTTCCAGCTCTTGGTGAGAGTTCCAAAAAGGGGTGTCTTTCTTTGGAAGGCAGCCTCACAGTGGCCTGGGCTATGTCATCCCTGTTGATCTACGGAAATTAGGCACAGCCTCTAGTTTCCCCGCCCCGGTAAAATTCATCCACTGAGATAGCATTTAGTGACTGATATAAATAAACAAACATACAGTGATAGTTGGCATACAGAATAATGATATGAGTAGGTGCTTGATAAAATACTAATGTTGACAAAAAGAGGCTGCCAGCAGAATTGTCCTTAGTTTTTAAGACAGTGCTTTACAGAATTTCTACTCCTACTTTACCTACCCCACCACTGCAGCAGTTCAGATACATAAAG